CTCCCTCCCTCCCCTCTCCCTCCCTCTCCCTCCCTCTCCTCCCTCTCTCTCTCCCTCCCTCTCTCCCTCCCTCTCCTCTCCCTCTCCCTCTCCCTCTCTCCCTCTCCCTCTCTCTCTCTAAAATTGTAGTATTTCAAATATATGTTAATATATTTGGGAAGCATATTTTTAACTGGAGTACCCAGAGGAAACCCATGCAGGCACAGCAAGAACATGCAAACTCCAGGCAGGTGATGCCATGGTTGGGATTCAAACCAACAACCCTAATACTGCCAGGCAGAAGTGCTAACCATTTAGCCAACTGTGCTGGGAGAAGAAACAAAGATTGTTCCCTCTATACCCTGTGTTGTTTGTCAGCACAGAGCTCTAGGCTGTGATTGGGCACAGCCGGTAAGCAGGTTCCAGCCATGAATTAGTTGGCAGGCAGGGGCACATGCCCTGAACCTGGAACTCAAACAGGCACTGGGCCATTACATCACTACATTGCCCTATAGTGATGTAGTGACCAGTAGGGACAGGGTGGCAGAACAGAAACATGACGGCAGTAAAAGACATAGTCCATCAAGTCTGTCCCTTTTTCTGATTTATTTTTTTTTTATAGTATAGTATAGATCTATCCCAAGAATTAAATTCACTTAAAGTAAATCTTTCATCTTGCAGCCATAAAAGGCTATTTGATTTTTCTTACTTTTGATATGTTTGGCATTTCTTGGTTAATGGAGACACCGGTGATATAAACAAGACCTCACAGTGGTCCCCTGGGAAGACTACGTCACCAGTGTCTTTTACCTCAGGTTCACACCCAGGGGCGGACTGACAACTCATGGGGCCCCCAGGCAATAGGGGATCATGGGGCCCCTGTGTCCTTGCCCAAACTCAAAAAAGCCTATGAAAAAGGTACCAGGGGCATCTCATGGGGCCCCCTACTGACCCCCGGCCCTCGGGCAGTGCCCGAGTTTCCAAATGGTCAGTCCGCCTCTGGCTGTGCCTGTAGGGCCGCCTGTCCGCAATACAGTGCAGCAAGGTGGTCCTACAGAGGTTAATGTTTCTTCTAATGATGGGGAGGGGGGAGTGATGTTCTCACGAAACGCGTTGGTTATTTTTATAACTTACCAACAATTACAATGATTTTGGTCTCTTTCATCTGTTTTTGGTCCGGCTCTCCTTCCTGCTTGTCTATGGTTTGAGCTGTATGTATGACTTTATCAGCCTAGATCTGGTGATACGCTGATCATGTTGACCTGCAGTTTTCACCAAGGGCGATTTCTTTTTTTTTTAATTGGATGCTCAGCTTGAATTTTACAGATGATTCACAGGTTTATTAGACAAGTTGTTCTGCATATAAAAGACACTTTCCATCATATAACAGCGGTAAGGGTTCGCCGTGATAGTACATCATGCTTTGTGATTATATTTTCACTTGCTCTCCTTCAAGTCATACTTTCAAAGCCAAAATCCTATATAAATACACATCATCTTAATTTGGAAGACAGTGTAGAACATTAGCGAAAACACTTGTTGCCTTGGTAACTGGCGTTTGATTTGTAGTCGGAGTTACCGTCTCAGAAACAATATAATTCATAGAGAAAGCCTTAAAAGATAACTAGGGAAAATTGCATCAATATACACTACCTATTGGCCAATAAATATTCTATAACAATACAATAGCAGTAGAATATTGTAAGGCAGCGCATTATCTGTTTAAAGAAAGCACAAGACATTTTTCCTAAGGCTAGGTTTAGACGTGCGCTTGGCAGCAGTAAAAATTGCGGTTTGGCCACATTTTTAGCGCCCTCAACTGCCCCCATTAGGCTGCAAATAGCACTGGATGGGGGTGTTTGCATAACGCGGTCATGATGCTTCGCACCTAAGTAAAACCATTCGACCGTCAGAGGCGTCCCTAGGGTTGGTGTCACCCGGTGCGGTAACACTTGGTGACACCCCCTCTGACAATCCCCGCAGAATGGATCGGATCTGCGGATTGTGCATAATGGATCGGACTCTAATCCATTATGCTCCCCAGTTCGCAGATCGGATCCATCCTGCGGGGATCATCGGCTTTCTTTACAACTTACCTTTTCGTGGAGCGGGTGCAGTGTCACCCCATATAGGTTGCATGCTGATGATCCCCGCAGGATGGTTCGGATCTGCGGATTGAGCATAATGGATCCGATCGATTACGTTCCCCAGTCCACAGATCTGATCCATCCTGCGGGGATCATCGGCTTTCTTTACAACTTACCTTTTATATATATCTCCTAGATTGTAAGCTCGAAAGAGCAGGGCCCTCAATCCCCTCATGTTTTGCATTGTATTGGTATTGTTCTGTCACATGTTCTGTCCCCCTTTGTAATGTACAGCGCTGAGCGAACTATTGGCGCTTTATAAATACTGTATAATAATAATATATACCCCAATCCATCAGACTGTCACCTACCCTCCTCACCTTTAGGTGCACTCTGAAAACCTCTCTTCAGGGAAGCCTACCCCACCCTCACCTAATTACTGAACTCCTCCACTCTTCCTACCACTCCATCCCCCACAGCTATTTCCTCCTGTGCCACCATCCCCTCCCTCCTAGATTGTAAGCTCCAAGGAGCAGGGCCCTCGAACTCATGTATTGAATCGTATTGTTACTGTATTGTCTCCCATTATAATGTACAGCGCTGAGCGAACTGTTGGTGCTATATAAATACTGTATAATAATATTAATAATTTTATATATATATATATATATATATATATACAGTTGTGTCCAAAATTATTCAACCCCCACTGAAATTGAGTGTTTTGGCCAGTTTGACATTGCTTTTGATCATTCAGTCATCTTGCTTACATTTACATTAAAGAGGCACTTGTAGGTCAGACAAATATAACATAACAGTTATAATGAAATAACCACAAATGTCTTTTCTGTGCTCACAGCATTATCAGTTTTATTCAACCCCCAAGTGACATTCAATCTTAGTACTTAGTACAGCATCCTTTTACAGTTATAACAGCTTTTAAACGTGAAGCATAGCTTGACACAAGTGTCTTGCAGCGATCTACGGGTATCTTCGCCCATTCTTCATGGGCAAAGGCCTCCAGTTCAGTCACATTCTTAGGCTTGCGCACTGCAACTGCTTTCTTTAAGTCCCACCAGAGGTTCTCAATCGGATTTAAGTCTGGTGACTGCGATGGCCACTCCAAAATGTTCCAGCCTTTCCTCTGCAACCATGCTCTAGTGGACTTGGAGGTATGCTTGGGATCATTGTCCTGTTGAAAGGTCCAACGTCTCCCAAGCCTCAGGTGTGTGACGGACTGCATCACGTTTCCATCCAATATCTCCTGGTACTGAAGAGAATTCATGGTACCTTGCACACGCTGAAGCTTCCCTGTACCTGCAGAAGCAAAACAGCCCCAAAGCATGATTGACCCTCCACCATGCTTCACAGTAGGCAAGGTGTTCTTTTCATCATAGGCCTTGTTCTTCCTCCTCCAAACATAGCGTTGATCCATGGGCCCAAACAGTTCTAATTTTGTTTCATCAGTCCACAGAACACTATCCCACAACTTTTGTGGTTTGTCCACATGGCTTTTGGCATACTGCAGTCGACTCTTCTTATTCTTTGGAGACAGCAAGGGGGTACGCCTGGGAGTTCTGGCACGGAGGCCTTCATTACGCAGTGTGCGTCTTATTGTCTGGGCTGAAACTTCTGTACCCACATCTGACAAATCTTTTCTCAGTTCCTCAGCAGTCACACGGGGACTTCTCTCCACTCTACGCTTCAGGTAGCGCACAGCAGTCGAAGTCAGCATCTTCTTTCTGCCACGACCAGGTAGCGTTTCAACAGTGCCCTTTGCCTTGAATTTGCGAATGATGCTTCCTAAGGTGTCTCTTGGTATGTTTAACATCTTTGCAATCTTCTTATAGCCATTGCCCTTCCTGTGAAGAGAAATCACCTCTTCTCTTGTCTTCCTGGACCATTCTCTTGCCTTCACCATGTTTGTAACCACACCAGTAAATGTCTAGAAGGAGCTGAGTATCACAGTCATTTTAAAGCTGCCTAATTGGTGCTTATTATGCTTGATTGCTGCTCGGTGACATCCACAGGTGTTTTCAATACCTGATGGAAAGCACCTGTATGAACCTCTGTTCTTCAGAGTGGTAGTCTTTAAGGGGTTGAATAATTGTGGCAATGAAGAAACCACATAAGAACCATTTACTACTGTATTACATAAACAATTGATGTCATTTTAGTTGCATTTGGGTAGTTACAACGTCCTTGTAGGATTTGATTCTGAATACAATTCCAAATGTACACTATAGTCCCTAAACCCCTTTACAGCATTGGGGGTTGAATAATTTTGGACACAACTGTATTGCATGTTGAAATGCATTTTTATTTCAGAATATATGAAAAATATTTTTAAAAATACATTTCAAATATACTGTATATCTTTAAAAATACAAATCTACATTTTTGGAATGCATTTACAAATATATGTAAAAATATATGTTAAAATGACTTTATGTTAAACAAAATATGAAGAATATATTTTTAAAAAATATATTTTTAAAAATATATATTTTTTAAAATATATTCTTCAGATTTTTACAAAAATATGTAAAAAAAAAAATGTTAAAATGATTTTTTTATGTTAAAAAAATCTGAAGAATATATTTAAAAATATATATATTTTTAAAAATATATTTTTTTAAATATATTCTTCAGATTTTTTTTAACATATAAAAAAAAGTCATTTTAATATATTTTTTTACATATTTTTGTAAAAATGCATTCCAAAAATGTAGATTTGTATTTTTAAAGACACACAGTATATTTGAAATGTAATTTTATAAATATTTTTCATATATTCTGAAATTTCAACATGCAATATATATATATATATATATATATATATATATATATACCGTATTTTCCGGCGTATAAGACGACTGGGCATATAAGACGACCCCCTACTTTTCCTGTTAAAATATAGGGTTTGAGCTATACTCGCCGTATAAGACTACCCCTCTTCCAACGCACACCAAATAAAAATGAAAAAACATCAGATTTGATTTCAATATGGTATGCTATTTCAGTATGTTATTCCAATGATGGGGTGCTATTCCTCCCACTGACACCAATGATGGGGCACGATTCCTCCCACTGATACCAATGATGAGGCACTATTCCTCCCACTGACACCAATGATGGGGCACTATTCCTCCCACTGATACCAATGATGGGACACTATTCCTCCCACTGACACCAATGATGGTGCCCCATCATAAGTGTCAGTGGGAGGAATAGTGTCCCATCATTAGTGTCAGTGGGAGGAATAGTGTCCCATCATTAGTGTCAGTGGGAGGAATAGTGCTCCATCATTGGTGTCAGTGGGAGGAATAGTGCTCCATCATTGGTGTCAGTGGGAGGAATAGTGCTCCATCATTGGTGTCAGTGGGAGGAATAGCACCTCATCATTGGTGTCAGTGGGAGGAATAGCGCCCCATCATTGGTATCAGTGGCAGGAATTGCGCCCCATCATTGGTGTCAGTGGGCAGGAATTGCGCCCCATCATTGGTGTCAGTGGGAGGAATAGCGCCCCATCATTAGTGTCAGTGGGAGGAATTGCGCCCCATCATTAGTGTCAGTGGGAGGAATTGCGCCCCATCATTGGTGTCAGTGGGAGGAATAGTGCCCCATCATTGGTGTCAGTGGGAGGAATAGCGCCCCATCATTAGTGTCAGTGGGAGGAATTGTGCCCCATCATTGGTGTCAGTGGGAGGAATAGTGCCCCATCATTGGTATCAGTGGGGAGAATAGTGCCCCATCATTGGTGTCAGTGGGGAGGAGGAAAAGTGCCCCATCGTTGGTGTCAGTGGGAGAATAGTGCCCCATCATTGGTGTCAGTGGGGAGAATAGTGCCCCATCGTTGGTGTCAGTGTGGAGGAGGAATAGTGCCCCATCATTGGTGTCCCTGGGGAGAATAGTGCCCCATCGTTGGTGTCAGTGTGGAGGAGGAATAGTGCCCCATCATTGGTGTCAGTGGGGAGAATAGTGCCCCATCGTTGGTGTCAGTGTGGAGGAGGAATAGTGCCCCATCGTTAGTGTCAGTGGGGGAGAGGAGCGGCTGCTCCTTCTTTCCGTTCGGCCGCTTTATTTTCGTGGGGCTGCTCGGCTCCGCCTCCTCACCAGTGATTGGTCGCCTGTGTGCCTTTCCAGTGCTGGCGACCAATCACCGGTGAGGAGGCGGGCCGAGCGAGCGGCTGCGCGATCATCGAGAGGCCGAATTGAAAGAAGGAGCAGCCGCGCTTCCTGGACCGGATCGTCGTGGGACCGGGACCGGAGCCAGGTAAGGTACAGCAGCCCCTCTGCCCACCCCTGTACTTAGTGTCCGTAGGAGGAGGAGGGGGGGCGGCACCGCGCCACCCCTCAAAAAAGTGCCGTCCTGACACCGGCTCGCCGTATACCGGCGTATAAGACGACCCCCGACTTTTCATCAGATTTTTATGGGTTGAAAAGTCGTCTTATATGCCGGAAAATACGGTATATATATATATATATATATATATATATATATATATATATATATATATATATTTATTTATTGAAATATATTTTGAAATATATTGAATATGGCCAAAATTGTAGCATTTCAAATATATGTCAATATATTTGGGAAGAATATTTTTTAAATGTATATTTCAAATATATCTTTCTTCCATGTGGGTTAACACAAGACCGTTTAGTGGTAAATGAACTCAATGTATTGGTACGGGTTAGAATAAATGGTGGTTTGAGTAAAAACGAACAGAATATAATGTGTAGTAATGTGCATAGTAATACTAAAACTAGTCAAGAGTGCAGTCTAGGAGAATGGCTAGGACACGGTGCAATTCCTCTTGAGAGGTGCCTCTTAGCATGAGCAATAGGTGAAGGTCTCTGTGTGGCAGCTATAAAAAGGGACAGTCCTTAGTCCTAGCTCTTCAGCCGGCTAGCACCGGAGCCCAATTGTACCGTTGGTGCGCTGGAGTCCCAGTGAAACCTGCAGACAGCAATAAGGCTACTGGATGGCTGGAAGGCCAGTTCCTAAAGAGCTTAGTCTGTCTAGCAGCAGATAAATCCCCACAGCAGCAGTTCACCAGTCACATCCGGTCACACACAGCGATTAGTTCATTCTCTACTCTGCACCCAGGTGACTCTGGCTCTCGGCACACCTGGACCCAGCACTCTGGATCCCGTACAGGCCGCTATGCAGCAGTGGTAGTGCACACTGGACAGCGATGTGCACGCACCTGGCTATGCTTAAGTCCTCATGCACGCTGGACGTTTTTACAGCGGCTGTTTTTGGCTTTTGACTTTTTTTCTACAGCCAGTAAACCCCCCAGCATGTTATCCTATGTGTCCATGCACACATAGTCTGTAATCAACGTTTTTTGGCTGGGACGTTTTTTGGCTGGAAAAAAAAAAACAGAACTAACGGGTTTTTAGAGGAGGAGTTTTTTAGCTGTAAAAATGCTCTAATGTGTGGTAAAACGCCCTAATTTGGCGTTTTTGGATTTTTGTTATACCCAAAAAATTACATTTGGTAAAAAAAAAAAAAAAAAAAAATAAACGCTAAAAACACTGCTAAACGCTAAAGCAAAAACACTTAAACTCACATTTTTAACATGACTTTACACAGCTAACGTTACCAGCAAGGGCGGACTGACCATTTGGAAACTCGGGCACTGCCCAAGGGCCCGGGGTCAGTAGGGGGCACCATGAGATGCCCCTGGTACCTTTTTCATAGGCTTTGTTGAGTTTGGGCAAGGACACAGGGGCCCCATGATCCCCTATTGCCCCATGAGTTGTCAGTCCTGGGGGCCCCATGAGTTGTCAGTCCGCCCCTGATCTCGCCCATATTTTTTGTAGGAAATCAGTACTAGTCAGTGATATGTTTATATTTCGAAATTGTTTTGTTTTCAAATTTGATTCAAATTCAATTTGAAATGAATTTGATTTGAGGAAATTTTGTTTCATTATTTCAGAATCATTTAAATTAATTACCGTTGTAATTCAGAAATTTGGTTACATCTGAATCTCTGCATAACCAGGAGGATTTATTTAGCACCAGGGGCGGACTGACCATTTGGAAACTCGGGCACTGCCGAGGGCCCGGGGGTCAGTAGGGGGCCCCATGAGATGCCCCTGGTACCTTTTTCATAGGCTTTTTTGAGTTTGGGCAAGGACACAGGGGCCCCATGATCCCCTATTGCCCGGGGGCCCCATGAGTTGTCAGTCCGCCCCTGGTTACAAGCATTATCAAAACGCCAAGTGTGCATGAGGACTAAATGTTTCAAGGGAGAATCCTCTTCCTCAAAGCTGTTTCCAAGCATATAAGATATATTTTTTTTAGCTACCGATTTTTCTTTTTATACATATATGCTAAAATCTGAATGTTTGGCTGTTAAAATTACTCAAAACCCCAGAATGTTAAATATTTTCTGAACACAGAGACCCTGCAGAATAAAAAAAAAAAAGATAGCTGCAAATTTTTTTTTTACTTTCACAATATTTGTGCAACTGTTTATCACATCTAGATTTTAAGAAAAAAATAACAATGCTAGAATTAATTTTAATGCACACAAACACTATTTCATCCCAATTTTTGTACAAAATAAAAGATGTTGTGGAGAGTAAATAGCTGCCAAATTTGTCGAGCCTCAATACTGCACGCGCCTGCAAAATAGCAGAAAATTACAGTACTCAGAAATCATCAACAGCAAACCCTTTAAATACCTTTACAGCTCATCAATATAGAGCTGACTATAAACTGAGGAACCGCAAATTATTGCTCTCACTTTAGCAAGCACGGCAATATACAACATACGTGTCTCAATTGTTTAAATACATGCATGCATTTTACATGGTCACCACTTTTATTCGTGTGTGGGCACGGGGTCAACAGGAGTGGCTTTCAATTTTTTTTTTTTATTATTATATTTTAATTTTTAAACACTTTTTTGCACTTAACAGGCACTTTTTATGTGGACATCAAGGGGTCTACTGGAGTATAAACACACCCTCCTGCAATGTTATTAGCTTGCTTATTGGTAATTAAACGTAATAGGTGGACTTGTTTTGACCAACAGGAATGCCTGGTTAGGAGGAGGAGGCAAGATCAAGCTTCACTTCTACAGGAAAATGAAAAAAAAAAAAAACAATTCCAACTAACAAGCTATACAAAAAGATGGTAACCACCCCAATTTATAACTAGCCTTTGCAGTAAGGTGCACATAGAAGGGTTTTGCACATGACAAACAAAATATTTCCCAGCACATTTACCAGCTAGCTTGCAAAAAAAAAAATTGACTCTGTCTAACAAATCATGTTAAAAACAGAGGGTTTAATTGCACGCATTTGCAAACACACTGCTCAAAAAATTAAAGAAACACTTTTTAATCAGCGTAAAGCATCAAGTCAGTGAAACTCCTGGGATATTGATCTGGTCAGTTAAGTAGCAGAGGGGGTTGTTAATCAGTTTCAGCTGCTTTGGTGTTATTGAAATTAACAACAGGTGCACTAGATGGGCAACACTGAGACGAAACCCCAAAACAGGAATGGTTTTACAAGTAGAGGCCACTGGCATTTTTTTCTCTACTCATCTTTTCTGACTGTTTTTTCACTAGTTGTGACTAGGGTCAGTGTCACTACTGGTAGCATAAGGCCATACCTGGACCCTACAGAGGTTGCACAGGTAGTCCCACTCCTCCAGGATGGCACATCAATACGTGCCATTGCCAGAAGGTTTGCTGTGTCTCCCAGCAGTCTCCAGAGCATGGAGGAGATTCCAGGAGGCAGGCAGTTACTCTAGGAGAGCTTGACAGGGCTAAATAAGGTCCTTAACCCATCAGTAGAACCGGTATTTGCTCCTTTGTGCAAGGAGGAACAGGATGAGCACTGCCAGAGCCCTACAAAATGACCTCCAACAGGCAACTGGTGTGAATGTCTCTGACCAAACAATCAGAAACAGACTTCCTGAGGGTGGCCTGAGGGCCCGATGTCCTCTAGTGGGCCCTGTGCTCACTGCCCAGCACCATAGAGCTCGATTGGCATCTGCCATTGAACACCAGAATTGGCAGGTCCATCACTGGCGCCCTGTGCTTTTCACAGATGAGAGCAGGTTCACCCTGAGCACATGTGACAGACATGAAAGGGTCTGGAGAAGCCGTGGAGAACACTATGCATGACCGTTTTAGTGGTGGGACATTGATTGTCTGTGGAGGCATATCCATGAAGGGATG